CGTCTAGACGAAGTGGCGATTAAAAACGTTGTAATTAGTTTTGTTTTAAGAATCTGCAGCTTCACAGGATTATCAGCTTTAAAGACTCGTTTAGCAACTGTTAAAAATCGTCGACACTGCAGCTCTTCTCGCTTGGTTATAATCAATAGGAAGTGCTAAACCTATAAGGGCCATCTATCCTCGCCTGAGAGACCACAGCACTGCTCTCGCTCTTCACGTTTATCAGGTTATTCCAAATTCTTATTTTCTCAGAATTATTCCTATTTCTTAAAATTCTTCTCTTTTTTTTTTTTCAAAATGATTCTTAGTTCCCATTTTTCTTCCAAAGTTCTTCCTTTTTTTTCAAAATTCTTCCCGTTCTTCAGAAATTTTAATTTTTTCAAAATTCTTCCCATTCTTCAAAATTCTCCCAGTTCTTATAAATTCTCCGTTCTTCAAAATTCTCCGTTCTTCAAAATTCTCCCCGTCTTTAAAATTCTCCCTGTTCTTCAAAATTCTTCCCGTCTTCAAAATTCTCCCTGTTCTTCAAAATTCTCCCTGTTTCTCAAAATTCTTAATTTTTTCCCTAAACTCTTTCAGATTATTAGACTAAGAAACACCTATTTTTTTGCTTTGCTTGATCCTGGGCTCAGATCAGTCTAGTAGTCTACCTGTTGCTCTCAGCTACGTTCCTATCTACCACAATCTCGACCTCCAGGAAGGCCCCGCTTTACAGCGCTTCACTTCACAGCGTTATGCACCGGTTTTCAATTAAACTCATTCATTTATTCAGACTTCCTACAATAAATATATTTACCACTCACTATAAGCTACAGACAAAAATATTTTAAATAATGTGTGTACTATATATGCATTTTTTAGACCTAGCGTTATCGTTAATATGTGTTTCACTTTACAGCGGTATAAGACCCTAACCTGCTGTATAAGCGGGGCCCTCCTGTATAAGCAAATGTAGTTTTTTAATGTATGGAATCATAAAATCTATGAATTATAGATGTCATTTCTAGAGTTGATGGTACATCTGCAAAATATATAAGAATGGATAATCCACTGTCCATCCGCCTTCAATCTCAACTAATTTATTAATGGAAAACTCTGAATCATTACCGGAGATAACCCTGGTTGAGATGGTTAATGGACAATAGGGTTTCAAGCCTATCTACTACACGAGGGTCGTAACCTTTACAACACCAACTGAGAGACGTACCACATCTGGGTATATGTTGATATGCATATGTATATGTTGTATACTGTATATGTTGATATACAGCATACAAGAGGTCTTTTATAAGTGTAGACAGGACAAAATTTCGAGATCTTTGAGAAATTGTGGACTAAGTCATTCCATCAGAATAAAAGTGAATCATACTATTATTCTTCATTGTTTTAATTAAGAGATTTGATGATAACACTACAGTGTGTATATACATGAGTACACTAGAGTACACATACACTAGAGTACACATACACTAGAGTACACATACACTAGAGTACACACACACACACACACACACACACACAACACACAGTGGGGGTACACACGCTGAAAAACACACACATTCTGTAATACACACACATACTGATACAACACACACAGTATGTAATCACACACGTTTGTAACCACAAGAGTACACACAACATCGAGTGCAATACACACTAACAATCACACACATACACTAAGTACACATCATACACTGACGTAACACATCCACTAAACACAACTAGAGTGCACCATACACTAGAACATACGCACACAAGCACAATAAACACACTGGAGTACACACACACACACACACAACACAACACACACACACACAACACTAAGACTCGACCCCTGCAACCACAACTATGTAAGTACTCACACACACACACACATATATAACACACACACAACACAGTAATATACAATAATCAACAAAACAACACTACTGTACTATCATCAACGTTTCTTAAGTTGGTCTTCACTGTCTTCTCCTAAATTATAACATGACATAATCTCAGAATGAAACATAATATTATCAAAGACTTATTATACTGGTCGGAGGATCGAGCCTCCACTCACGTATACACAAACTCATCTGATTAACTTCCCTGTTTTAATTTTTTAACCAACAATATCTTTACTTTAGTGAATAAACTGTAATAACATTGCTAGAACCTTAAAAATGATAAAATAATAAGGAACTCTAGGTTAATGAATTCAGTTATAGCGTGGTGCTAGTTTATATATATATATATATATATATATATATATATATATATATATATATTATATATAATATATATATATATATATATATATATATATATATATATATATATATATATATATATATATATATATATATATATAATATTATATATATATATATATATATATATATATATATAAATATATATATATATATATATATATATATATATATATATATATATATTTGTGCCGAATTGGTAAAACTTGCGATTCTGGCTTAAATAGCAACGCTCTTCTTGCCGAATACAACATGCAAAAATTGTGTATTCAATAATTTCACAAAAATCATTCTAAACCTAACGAAAAAAATATATTTCATTGTGTTAGTTTATTAAATTATTGTAAACTTATCTAAAATATATTTAGTTGGATTAGGCCAAATTAAATTGTGCTTGTTATGATAAGGTTAGGTGAGTTTTCTAAGTTTCTTTTAGTGCAAAATTATCAATTTCTACATTAACATAAATGAAAAAAATATATCTTTAAACGTATAAGAGAAATTTTTTTAGAAAGGACTTAATTTTAAACGAGTTCTTGCTAATTGACCAATTTTACCTATTCGGCACGACAATATATATATATATATAATATATTATATATATATATATATATATATATATATATTAATTATGCAATGTATACGTACATACACAAATCAAGAAATTAGTTAGAAATTTAAGCCCAGGATTAGTCAAGATATCTATAATTATTTTGTGGTACAGACGATCATGGGTACCTAGACGCCTTTGCCTTTATTTAGCAAGACTCAGTACATCAGTAATGTGCTGCCGCCGTCTTGTACAGTGGAAACAAAAGCTAGCTGCATTTACCTATTACATTCCATCACGCAGGATGGGACTCTTACAAATTATCGAAATCTGTCCGTCTGAGCTGAGGGACTTCAGTAACGCAGTGAGGATGTCTTCCAGTGTTCCATTACAGTTTCAATAGCTACGGCAGCTTCAAAGGTTTCCTTCCAGCAGAGCTGGAGTTACCATCACCTAGGAATTACCTAGACGCTGGTGAAAGTTCTTGATCAACGCTGATACACCTCCCATTCCCCAGGTGCTGTGGGGGATCCCTACCAGGTTATGTTTTAGTTACTGCAACAATAAGTCTCCCTCAGCAATGTTCCCTTGAAGACTATACTGGGACAACAGGAAGAAGTTTGTATAAGCAAGTATATAAACGGAAATAAAGAGTTGTTAGAACAGTGAGAGAAGTGCTGTGTTCTGTCGTCTGTGCAACTATGGCCATAATGCTTAGATAATTGCAAACTAGTTTGATTTTAATTTGTGTAAAACGATGAAGTGTTTTAGCAGTAATCTTCAGTTAGTGTTTATCGCAACCTGAACAGATGTGGGTCTTGGTTACAAAATGACTTGTTTTTCCCAGTGGATATTTTGGTAGGTAGACTGAGGCCTTCCGCTGGCTTACCGGTCCACAACGTGAAAATCAGTATTTTACATCACAAGATGTTTAACAACAAAGGCAAGTAATGTAGCGAGAAATTTTTGATCTCTGACATCTTCACTATTAGTAGTTTCATTTTTTATTACGAAAATATCGAGATACGTATTATTATTATTATTATTATTATTATATTATCGAGCGAGCTAGAATATGATACAGAGTAGGCAAGTACAGGCTGGCTAGACGCCGTCATGTGTAGGCTCTGAAGCCTCATTGCTAGTGCTCATGCAAACTATGTCTAGATGTCCCTTCCTGATGGGGAGGAGACTGCAGGTAGCAGCGGATCTGTCTGTATCGTCAGCATGTTATGGTGTGTGAGAGACATGACACGTGTGGAAGCTGGACTTCACTCAGCACCACAAGTGGCAACAAGACATGCTCGACCTGCATCAAGGAAGGCATGTTTGAGGACCTTTAACAGATAAGCTTTCGAAGACCAATTTTTCGAGCGATTAACTCAGTAAAAATGGGTCTTAACGTATTCAGTTTAAATGACAATAAAAAGAGGTCAGCGGTGGCTGAGAGGTCTTGCCACACACTTCTGGTATTGCTCTGAGGTCTGTCAGGCAAGTCTCACTGACACAACACCCCCAGTTAAAGTTATCTACCCGCATGCACATGTCAAACAGCAGGTGTGAAGGTATCATCCAGTCAGTTCGTTAATGCTTGTAGCGCCAGAGTTGGCGGTGGAAAAAAAAAAAACAAAGAACAAAGGCAGGGCATAACCAAGCGTGGGTCCTGCGGCCAATTACAACTCAAGGATGGACGGCCGTGAATTGTCATTGGTTACGGCTTGGGCATTGGGCATTACCCATTCACATGGCTTGGATTAATACCCAGCGCAGTATAGTGGTCGAGCGGGGAACAGGTCCATGGTATGGTTCGTTTCAAAGTACTTAGCAATGATGCGTTCGTAAAGCACTATCTAAACATTGACTAGTGTTATGTGTACATATTTACACGATGTTTATGGTATATGAGGGAAGCAGGAACGTAGCATCATCGTGCGAATGAATGTCATTTTTTTTTTTGCCTTGGGTGCAAGGGCACACGTCTGTCGTTAAGTTTATCTACAGCTCAGACCTCTTCCCCGCCCGCCCGGCGCGACCATGTTAGTACAAGTGTGTGTGTGTGTGTGTGTGTGTGTGGTGTGTGTGTGTTGTGTGTGTGTGTGTGTGTGTGTGTGTGTGTGTGTGTGTGTGTGTGCGTGTGTGCGTGTGTGTGTGTGAACGGACATGCTGGCATGGGTGTGTCTGTATGTGTGGTATGTACTTGTGTATATGTGTATGTACGTTTGTATGTGTGTATGTATGTACGTGTATATATGTGTATGTTTGTGCCTGTATCTATATGTATGTTTGTGTGTGTTATCTATATATATGTTTGTGGTGTGTGTGTGTGTGTGTGTGTGTGTGTGTGTGTGTGTGTGTGTGTGTGCCGCTGAGAGCTGGTAAGGCTCGCCGGGTTAATGACATGCAGGATAGCCACAGGAGGCTCATGTGACCCGTACGTCATATCTCCATAGCCCACTGTTGTCATGGTGACGACCGCCCACCAGAAGGCATCAGGAATAGACTTGAAGTAGGATTTTTCTGAGCCTGCCTCGGCGAAGTACACAGCACTTGAGAAGAGTACCACACCTGTAATAGGAACAGACACATTGAGGCCTCACTCCCCAGGGCAGAACAAGAAGGGGCGGGAAGGTTCTCAGGGGTGCTCTGGGGGGACTTTAAGGGGACCCCCAGTAACACGACCCCCCAGTCTACGCCTCCTAGCTTCCCCCTGGTGAGGAAGGCGCTGGGGAAAAGCTGGGGATGAAAGACTAGCGCGAGTGGTTGGTAGGGAAGTTGGGCTGCAGGAAGGAGCATCAGGCGTCCACTCCTTCAGAAGTGGACGCCTGTGACAGACACCTCCGGCTGTTCCTGACTGTGCACGTGCTACTTCGAGCAACGCCCGCCTCCAACGGGGAATGTTTACAAGTGAAAAGTATTCGCAAAAGAAACTCTAACCCAGAAGACCAATTCGAGACTAAACCAAAAATATCGACGGCAGAATCCTAACCCCTGCCGTCCAAGATAAGTCTGTTACCGGTCCGCCTGGTAGAGAATATCCTTTTGCAATCCTGGAGAGAGTCCTCCTGAGGATGCCCTTATCTGACCAGGATTATTGGGGCGGGCGTTGCTTATTACCTGCAGCGGCACCGTCAGGATTTCCGGGAGGAAGAGTGAGAGAGCAGCATGAGCAGCGTCACCCATTTACCTCATGTCTCCATATCCCACTGTGGTCATGGTAACAACGGCCCACCAGAACGCGTCAGGGATGCTCTTGAAGCAAGAACGTTCAGAGCCGGCATCAGCGAAGTACACAGCAGAGGAGAATAACACGACCCCTGTAATATAACCCTGGGGTTGGTCACCTCCGCCTGCCTGCCTGCCTGCCTGCCTGCCTGCCTGCCTGCCTGTCTTACTGCCTGCCTGCCTGTCTTACTGACTGCCTGCCTGCCTGCTTGCCTGTCTGCCTGCCTGTCTGTCTGCCTGCCTCGTCCAACCTTGCCCCAGTCTTCAGCACCGTTCCGCCGTCAACCCAATCCCCATCCCTCACCCAGCTCCGCTCCTGTACCTTATCTAGCCCTGCCCAAGCCCTCAGTCCTGCTTTCAACCTTTACTCATCATTGCCCCCATTCCTCACCCATCCCTGCTCCTTTACCCAGGTCTACCCACTTCTTTAACCAAGCCTCATCCCAGCACTGCCCCAGTCCTGTTACTGTCCTGCCTCAGCGCTGAGCCTTCACCCGGCCTTGCCCTCAGCACTCATCTAGCCCTATCCCAGCCCTGCCCTAGCTCTGCCCCAGCTCTGCCCTCAACTCTTATCTAGCCCTGCCCCAGCCTTGCCTCAACCACACCCCAACACTAGCAACACCGACACAGACTAACAATATAGTAGTCTCAGCAGATGTTAAGTAGCTGGCTTGTTTTATCAGCTTCTAGATACATCATACACTCTATACAATACATGGTTAGTATACATGGGAAGTATACATGACACAGGAGGGTGACACAGCAATAATGAATGTTCATGCATACTATGTATAAATTCAACAAGACAAGCATGTGCATATGAAGGCCTATGTATGTTGACTTAACCCTCCACACACACACACACACGCACATACACACGCGCACACACACACACACACACACACACACACACACACACACACACACAGCAAGTGAAAGAGAGTTGACCAAATTTACACACGAGAATAACCGTTCCAGGTCACTACCACGTCATTACCACTTCACATTTGACATCACAGAAGGTGCTCTGATGTTAGGAAAGACTCTTGATTCAGGGTATTGGAGCTACCCTCCCTATCCCTGGATCAATTCTGATTACATCCCATTTATCATGAGCTGTATGGTCCCCACGAGTGATAATAATAATTATTATTATTATAGAATTGAGAAATGAAAGACGTATTTTTATTTAATGAATTAATTTTATTATTATTTCCATAAAGTTATAATCGTATTATCACGTAATGATGAAAATGATAATTGGCTAATGATGGTGGTGGTGATAATGACTGTGGTGGTAGTGGTGATAATGACTGTGGTGGTAGTGGTGATAATGACTGTGGTGGTAGTGGTGAAATGACTGTGGTGGTAGTGGTGGTGATAATGACTGTGGTGTAGTGGTGGTGATAATGACTGTGGGGGTAGTGGTGATAATGACTGTGGTGGTAGTGGTGATAATGACTGTGGTGGTAGTGGTGATAATGACTGTGGTGGTAGTGGTGGTGATAATGACTGTGGTGGTAGTGGTGATAATGACTGTGGTGGTAGTGGTGATAATGACTGTGGTGGTAGTGGTGATAATGACTGTGGTGGTAGTGGTGATAATGACTGTGGTTGGTTAGTGGTGATAATGACTGTGGTGGTAGTGGTGATAATGACTGTGGTGGTAGTGGTGGTGATAATGACTGTGGTGGTAATGGTGATAATGACTGTGGTGGTAGTGGTGATAATGACTGTGGTGGTAGTGGTGATAATGACTGTGGTGGTAGTGGTGGTGATTAATGACTGTGGTGGTAGTGGTGATAGTGACTGTGGTAGTAGTGGTGATGACTGTGGTAGTAGTGGTGATAATGACTGTGGTGGTAGTGGTGATAATGACTGTGGTGGTAGCGGTGGTGATAATGACTGTGGTGGTAGCGGTGGTGATAATGACTGTGGTGGTAGTGGTGGTGATGGGCTTGTAGTGATGGTGGTAGTAATGGGCTTGTAGTGGTGGTAGTAGTAATGGGCTTGTAGTGGTGGTAGTAATGGTCTTGTAGTGTACTCTTGCTCAGGAAAGAGTGTAATGGTGCTAATGATAGTTGTAATGATGGGTCATAATGATGGTAATTAGTGGTCATAATGGTTGTAATGAGGGATCAATAATGGTAATGAGAGGTCAAAATGGTGGTTATGAGGTGTCATAATGGCATTGAGGAGTCATAATGGTGATAAAGACAATGGAAATGAGGGGGTCATAATGATAGTGGTAATGATGATGGTAACAGTGGCAATGAGGGGTCATAATAGTGATGAGGGGTCATAATAGTGGTAATGAGGGGTCATAATAGTGGTAATGAGGGGTCATAATAGTGGTAATGAGGGGTCATAATAGTGGTAATGAGTAGTTATAATAGTGGTAATGAGGGGTTATAATTGTGGTAATGAGGGGTTATAATAGTGGTAATGAGGAGTTATAATAGTGGTAATGAGGGGTTGTAATAGTGGTAATGAGGGGTTACAATAGTGGTAATCATGGTGGTAACAGTGGTAATGAGAGGGATATAATGATAGTCGTAATGATGCTGGTAACAGTGGTAACGAGGGGCCATAATGATAGTGGTAATGATGGTGATAACAGTGGCAATGAGAGGGATATAATGACAGTGGTAATGAGGGGTCATAATAGTGGTAATGAGGGGTCATAATAGTGGTAATGAGGGGTCATAATAATGGTAATGAGGGAGTCATAATAGTGGTAATGAGGGGGTCATAATAGTGGTAATGAGGGGTCATAATAATGGTAATGAGGGAGTCATAATAGTGGTAATGAGGGGGTCATAATAGTGGTAATGAGGGGTCATAATAGTGATAATGAGGGGTCATAATAGTGGTAATGAGGGGTCATAATAGTGGTAATGAGGGGTCATAATAATGGTAATGAGGGGTCATAATAATGGTAATGAGGGATCATAATAAGTGATGATGGTGATAATAGTGGTAATGAGGCGTGTCATATTGGTAATGAGGAGGCGTAATAGTGGTAATGAGGGTGGTAATGATAGTGTCAATCGGCAAAAATATAAAGAAAAAATGAATAACATGATTTAGAAGTTTTCTGATCAATTATCACAATTATTTTGAAAATAATTTGGTGATAATCATCTTTATTATAGCAGTAACTACGAAACTGACATTATATAATTCACTCCGCTACAAGGAATCGAAACCTAATTTTATACCATTGACAATATTTAAACTAACCTCTGAATCCTTTCTTATTGAACTGATCTTTGACCTTATAAAACTGACCCTTGAATCCTTTGTCTTTTGTAAACTGGCCTTCATAAGAACATAAGAAAGGAGGAACACTGCAGCAGGCCTGTTGGCCCATACTAGGCAAGTCCTTTACAATTCATCCCACTAACAAACATTTGACGAACCCAATTTTCAATGCTTCCCAAGAAATAAGCTCTGATGTGCAAGTCCCACTCAAATCCAACCCCTCCCACTCATGTACTTATCCAACCTAAATTTGAAACTACCCAAAGTCCCAGCCTCAATAACCCAACTAGGTAGACTGTTCCACTTATCAACTACCCTATTTCCTATGTCCTTTCTAAATCTAAACTTATCTAATTTAAATCCATTACTGCGGGTTCTCTCATGGAGAGATATCCTCAAGACCTTGTTAATATCCCCTTTATTAATACCTATCTTCCACTTATACACTTCGATCAGGTCTCCCCTCATTCTTCGTCTAACAAGTGAATGTAACTTAAGAGTCTTCAATCTTTCTTCATAAGGAAGATTTCTAATGCTATGTATTAATTTAGTCATCCTACGCTGAATGTTTTCTAACGAATTTATATCCATTCTGTAATATGGAGACCAGAATTGAGCTGCATAATCTAGGTGAGGCCTTACCAATGATGTATAAAGCTGCAGTATGACCTCTGGACTTCTGTTGCTTACACTTCTTGATATAAATCCCAGTAATCTATTTGCCTTATTACGTACACTTAGGCATTGCTGTCTTGGTTTAAGGTTGCTGCTTACCATAACCCCCAAGTCCTTTTCGCAATCTGTATGGCTAACTTCTACATTATTTAACTTATAAGTGCTAGGGTTATAGACACTCCCGAGCTTCAGAACCTTGCATTTATCTACATTGAACTGCATCTGCCACTTTTCTGACCAAGAGTAGAGTTTGTCTAAATCCCCTGAAGTTCCCATAACATCTACGTTTGAATCAATTATCCTACCTATCTTCGTGTCATCGGCGAATTTGCTCATATCACTAGTAATTCCTTCATCAAGATCATTGAATATATATATAAACAACAACGGGCCCAAGATTGATC